CCATGCTCTCCTGCACTCCCATGCTCTCCCGCACTCCCATGCTCTCCCGCACTCCCATGCTCTCCCGCACTCCCATGCTCTCCCGCACTCCCATGCTCTCCTGCACTCCCATGCTCTCCCGCACTCCCATGCTCTCCCGCACTCCCATGCTCTCCTGCACTCCCATGCTCTCCCGCACTCCCATGCTCTCCCGCACTCCCATGCTCTCCCGCACTCCCATGCTCTCCCGCACTCCCATGCTCTCCTGCACTCCCATGCTCTCCTGCACTCCCATGCTCTCCCGCACTCCCATGCTCTCCCGCACTCCCATGCTCTCCCGCACTCCCATGCTCTCCTGCACTCCCATGCTCTCCCGCACTCCCATGCTCTCCCGCACTCCCATGCTCTCCCGCACTCCCATGCTCTCCCGCACTCCCATGCTCTCCCGCACTCCCATGCTCTCCTGCACTCCCATGCTCTCCCGCACTCCCATGCTCTCCCGCACTCCCATGCTCTCCCGCACTCCCATGCTCTCCCGCACTCCCATGCTCTCCCGCACTCCCATGCTCTCCTGCACTCCCATGCTCTCCTGCACTCCCATGCTCTCCCCCACTCCCATGCTCTCCCGCACTCCCATGCTCTCCCGCACTCCCATGCTCTCCCGCACTCCCATGCTCTCCTGCACTCCCATGCTCTCCCGCACTCCCATGCTCTCCTGCACTCCCATGCTCTCCTTGCCACTCCCATGCTCTCCCGCACTCCCATGCTCTCCCGCACTCCCATGCTTCTCCCGCACTCCCATGCTCTCCTGCACTCCCATGCTCTCCCGCACTCCCATGCTCTCCCGCACTCCCCATGCTCTCCCGCACTCCCCATGCTCTCCCGCACTCCCATGCTCTCCCGCCACTCCCATGCTCTCCCGCACTCCCATGCTCTCCTGCACTCCCATGCTCTCCTGCACTCCCATGCTCTCCCGCACTCCCATGCTCTCCCGCACTCCCATGCTCTCCCGCACTCCCATTGCTCTCCCGCACTCCCATGCTCTCCTGCACTCCCATGCTCTCCCGCACTCCCATGCTCTCCCGCACTCCCATGCTCTCCCGCACTCCCATGCTCTCCCGCACTCCCATGCTCTCCTGCACTCCCATGCTCTCCCGCACTCCCATGCTCTCCCGCACTCCCATGCTCTCCTGCACTCCCATGCTCTCCCGCACTCCCATGCTCTCCCGCACTCCCATGCTCTCCCGCACTCCCATGCTCTCCCGCACTCCCATGCTCTCCTGCACTCCCATGCTCTCCTGCACTCCCATGCTCTCCCGCACTCCCATGCTCTCCCGCACTCCCATGCTCTCCCGCACTCCCATGCTCTCCTGCACTCCCATGCTCTCCCGCACTCCCATGCTCTCCCGCACTCCCATGCTCTCCCGCACTCCCATGCTCTCCCGCACTCCCATGCTCTCCCGCACTCCCATGCTCTCCCGCACTCCCATGCTCTCCTGCACTCCCATGCTCTCCCGCACTCCCATGCTCTCCCGCACTCCCATGCTCTCCCGCACTCCCATGCTCTCCCGCACTCCCATGCTCTCCCGCACTCCCATGCTCTCCTGCACTCCCATGCTCTCCTGCACTCCCATGCTCTCCCGCACTCCCATGCTCTCCCGCACTCCCATGCTCTCCCGCACTCCCATGCTCTCCCGCACTCCCATGCTCTCCTGCACTCCATGCTCTCCCGCACTCCCATGCTCTCCTGCACTCCCATGCTCTCCTGCACTCCCATGCTCTCCCGCACTCCCATGCTCTCCCTCATCTCCGCACTCCCATGCTCTCCCGCACTCCCATGCTCTCCTGCACTCCCATGCTCTCCCGCACTCCCATGCTCTCCTGCACTCCCATGCTCTCCTGCACTCCCATGCTCTCCCGCCACTCCCATGCTCTCCCGCACTCCCATGCTCTCCCGCACTCCCATGCTCTCCCGCACTCCCATGCTCTCCTGCACTCCCATGCTCTCCCGCACTCCCATGCTCTCCCGCACTCCCATGCTCTCCCGCACTCCCATGCTCTCCCGCACTCCCATGCTCTCCCGCACTCCCATGCTCTCCTGCACTCCCATGCTCTCCTGCACTCCCATGCTCTCCCGCACTCCCATGCTCTCCCGCACTCCCATGCTCTCCCGCACTCCCATGCTCTCCCGCACTCCCATGCTCTCCTGCACTCCCATGCTCTCCCGCACTCCCATGCTCTCCTGCACTCCCATGCTCTCCTGCACTCCCATGCTCTCCCGCACTCCCATGCTCTCCCGCACTCCCATGCTCTCCCGCACTCCCATGCTCTCCTGCACTCCCATGCTCTCCCGCACTCCCATGCTCTCCCGCACTCCCATGCTCTCCCGCACTCCCATGCTCTCCCGCACTCCCATGCTCTCCCGCACTCCCATGCTCTCCTGCACTCCCATGCTCTCCCGCACTCCCATGCTCTCCCGCACTCCCATGCTCTCCCGCACTCCCATGCTCTCCCGCACTCCCATGCTCTCCCGCACTCCCATGCTCTCCTGCACTCCCATGCTCTCCTGCACTCCCATGCTCTCCCGCACTCCCATGCTCTCCCGCACTCCCATGCTCTCCCGCACTCCCATGCTCTCCCGCACTCCCATGCTCTCCTGCACTCCATGCTCTCCCGCACTCCCATGCTCTCCCGCACTCCCATGCTCTCCCGCACTCTCCCATGCTCTCCTGCACTCCCATGCTCTCCCGCACTCCCATGCTCTCCCGCACTCCCATGCTCTCCTGCACTCCCATGCTCTCCCGCACTCCCATGCTCTCCCGCACTCCCATGCTCTCCCGCACTCCCATGCTCTCCCGCACTCCCATGCTCTCCTGCACTCCCATGCTCTCCTGCACTCCCATGCTCTCCCGCACTCCCATGCTCTCCCGCACTCCCATGCTCTCCCGCACTCCCATGCTCTCCTGCACTCCCATGCTCTCCCGCACTCCCATGCTCTCCCGCACTCCCATGCTCTCCCGCACTCCCATGCTCTCCCGCACTCCCATGCTCTCCCGCACTCCCATGCTCTCCTGCACTCCCATGCTCTCCCGCACTCCCATGCTCTCCCGCACTCCCATGCTCTCCCGCACTCCCATGCTCTCCCGCACTCCCATGCTCTCCCGCACTCCCATGCTCTCCTGCACTCCCATGCTCTCCTGCACTCCCATGCTCTCCCGCACTCCCATGCTCTCCCGCACTCCCATGCTCTCCTGCACTCCCATGCTCTCCCGCACTCCCATGCTCTCCCGCACTCCCATGCTCTCCCGCACTCCCATGCTCTCCCGCACTCCCATGCTCTCCTGCACTCCCATGCTCTCCCGCACTCCCATGCTCTCCCGCACTCCCATGCTCTCCCGCACTCCCATGCTCTCCCGCACTCCCATGCTCTCCTGCACTCCCATGCTCTCCCGCACTCCCATGCTCTCCTGCACTCCCATGCTCTCCTGCACTCCCATGCTCTCCCGCACTCCCATGCTCTCCCGCACTCCCATGCTCTCCCGCACTCCCATGCTCTCCTGCACTCCCATGCTCTCCTGCACTCCCATGCTCTCCCGCACTCCCATGCTCTCCTGCACTCCCATGCTCTCCTGCACTCCCATGCTCTCCCGCACTCCCATGCTCTCCCGCACTCCCATGCTCTCCCGCACTCCCATGCTCTCCTGCACTCCCATGCTCTCCTGCACTCCCATGCTCTCCCGCACTCCCATGCTCTCCCGCACTCCCATGCTCTCCCGCACTCCCATGCTCTCCCGCACTCCCATGCTCTCCCGCACTCCCATGCTCTCCTGCACTCCCATGCTCTCCTGCACTCCCATGCTCTCCTGCACTCCCATGCTCTCCCGCACTCCCATGCTCTCCCGCACTCCCATGCTCTCCCGCACTCCCATGCTCTCCCGCACTCCCATGCTCTCCTGCACTCCCATGCTCTCCTGCACTCCCATGCTCTCCCGCACTCCCATGCTCTCCCGCACTCCCATGCTCTCCCGCACTCCCATGCTCTCCCGCACTCCCATGCTCTCCCGCACTCCCATGCTCTCCTGCACTCCCATGCTCTCCTGCACTCCCATGCTCTCCCGCACTCCCATGCTCTCCCGCACTCCCATGCTCTCCCGCACTCCCATGCTCTCCCGCACTCCCATGCTCTCCCGCACTCCCATGCTCTCCTGCACTCCCATGCTCTCCCGCACTCCCATGCTCTCCCGCACTCCCATGCTCTCCCGCACTCCCATGCTCTCCTGCACTCCCATGCTCTCCTGCACTCCCATGCTCTCCCGCACTCCCATGCTCTCCCGCACTCCCATGCTCTCCTGCACTCCCATGCTCTCCCGCACTCCCATGCTCTCCTGCACTCCCATGCTCTCCCGCACTCCCATGCTCTCCCGCACTCCCATGCTCTCCTGCACTCCCATGCTCTCCCGCACTCCCATGCTCTCCTGCACTCCCATGCTCTCCTGCACTCCCATGCTCTCCCGCACTCCCATGCTCTCCCGCACTCCCATGCTCTCCCGCACTCCCATGCTCTCCCGCACTCCCATGCTCTCCCGCACTCCCATGCTCTCCTGCACTCCCATGCTCTCCTGCACTCCCATGCTCTCCCGCACTCCCATGCTCTCCCGCACTCCCATGCTCTCCTGCACTCCCATGCTCTCCTGCACTCCCATGCTCTCCCGCACTCCCATGCTCTCCTGCACTCCCATGCTCTCCCGCACTCCCATGCTCTCCCGCACTCCCATGCTCTCCCGCACTCCCATGCTCTCCTGCACTCCCATGCTCTCCTGCACGCCACCCTGCCAAGCGCGCTCGCAACTCTACCGTTGTTCGCCTCTCCCCAATGTTTCCCGCGCGCTCATGCTGTCTCTCCGCGCGCTCATGCTGTCTCTCCGCGCGCTCATGCTGTCTCTCCGCGCGCTCATGCTGTCTCTCCGCGCGCTCATGCTGTCTCTCCGCGCGCTCATGCTGTCTCTCCGCGCGTGGCGCAGGTGGCAGGCGCAGCAGGCGGCCAAGGCAGGGCAGCGGGGCGGCCAGGGGGCGGTGGCCGTGGCGGACGGGGAGGGGGAAGGGGCGCAGGCGAGCATGGATGCTGCGCGCGCTGAGATGAGGGCGTGGTGAGCTGGGCGCACTCATGGGGGAGGGGTGAGCGCACTCATGGGGGAGGGGTGAGCGCACTCATGGGGGAGGGGTGAGCGCACACGTAGGGGAGGGGTGAGCGCACACGTGGGGGACGGTGGGTTGGGTTGGGGGAGGGGTGAGGGGGAGCGGTGGCGGGGGTGTGATGCGTGGCTGGTGCAAATGGCAGGGAGGGGCACACGAGGTGATAGGAAGAGGAGTGCGAGAGCAGGGATGGTGAGGTGGGTGGAACGCGAGGATGAGTTGCACCCGTGACTCACTCACTCTTCACCGCGCGCAACTGACACGCGCGTCACCATTACTTGCCGGCCCACGCACACCGAGACACCCGGCCTGCTACCGGGCCGAGCCGCCGGCCGTGGGGATGCCGGGCCGCAGGTGGCCCGGCGGGTGGAGTCTTTGAAGCTGGCGGTCCGTCCCGCCCTTGAGCTGGGGCGGCGCTCATTCATGCCTGCACATGCTGAGATTCTTCTTATGCTTCTCCTTCCGCATTGCCCCACACTCCACCCCATGCCCCTCCTCGGCCCGCCCTCCCGTTTGCTGTTGTTGCGCCTCTCCGTTCCCCCTCGGACACCAGGTGGGCGGCACAGCAGGCGGGCAAGGGCGAGAAGGCGGGTATGGATGCTGCCCGCGCGCAGATGAGGACGTGGTGAGTGGGGGGAAAGGGGAGAGGGGGAAGGAAAGAGGAAGGGCGGGAGGGGGGTGGGGAGAGAGGGAGGGCGGGAGGAGGAGAGAGAGGGAGGGAAGGGAGGGTGGAGGAGGGGAGCGAGGGGGTAGGGTGAAATCAAGGGAAGCGGGAAGAATCAAGAAGTGGTGAGAGAATGTTGCGGGAGAAGGGGAGGGGGGGGTTTGAGGAGGGAAGGGGCGAGGTGGAAGTGAGGAGCGAGTCAGCAGGGAGAGCGAGATATTCAGAGGTGCCTGTCAGCCAGCCACCGTAGATGGGTTCGCCCGCCACACCTCATCACGTCCATGCTTGTGCGCCCCTGCATGGCTACCAGGTGGATGGAGCAGCAGCAGGCCAAGGCCATGGATGCGGCGCGCGCAGCCATGCGGCAGTGGTGAGTGCAGGCATGAGGCAGTGGTGAGTGCAGGGGAGGTAAGGAGTGTGAGTGAGCCAGGGAAGGTGTCTGCTGCAGCGCTCCCTCTCAAGCGCACACTCCCTCTCAAGCGCACACTCCCTCTCAAGCGCACACTCCCTCTCAAGCGCACACTCCCTCTCAAGCGCACACTCCCTCTCAAGCGCACACTCCCTCTCAAGCGCACACTCCCTCTCAAGTGCACACTCCCTCTCAAGTGCACACTCCCACTCAAGCGCACACTCCCTCTCAAGCGCACACTCCCTCTCAAGCGTACACTCCCTCTCAAGCGCACACTCCCTCTCAAGCGCACACTCCCTCTCAAGTGCACACTCCCTCCATCCTCCTAAGCCTGTAAAACAGAGCGCGAGTCAAATGTGAATTCTTCGTAAATATTTTATGGATTCGGACCGAATAGCTGCTATACGTTTAGTGCAAATGCTAATCGGACCGTTTTGAATTGAGTACGAGTGTGTCTAATATTCATTTTTCACACCATCTCGGGCAATCCATTCCCCCGTCTGACCTTACGTCTCATCTCATCTCCTCCATGGGTTCCTTTTTCCACACGTGACTGACATTCAGCTTGCATTGCCTTGGCAATCATGCTTCTTCTTATCATCCCTCACTGATTTATGCGAGTTTAAACTATCGTACCTGATGTGCTTCATAGTGTAACACACTAACTGCTTCGTGTGTGACAGATTATACCACGTTTGGTTCAAACTTAAAGAGTATTTGCTGGCACCAGAATCCCTTGAGGATTTTGCGTCTACTTTGGGCATGCTGTGTGTGCTTTGCGCCTTGTTCCCTCCCCCCACCCCCCATGTGCGCCAGGTGGGCGGAGCAGCAGCAAGGCAAGGCCATGGATGCGGGTCGTGCGGAGATGAGGCAATGGTGAGTGTGAGTGTGAACCACGTGGAGGGTGCTGGCTGGGTGCCCCAACTACCATCCCACTCGCCCTCGTGACATCTCTCTCATGCCACACTCGTTTGCATGCTGGCTGTCACCACTTGTGCTTCACCCATCCATTCGCAAACTTACCTTGAAGATATGATATGTGTATGCAAAGCCACTGTATACTCCCGGTGACCATATGCATGTGCACTTATTTACATAGTTTGCATTTTCGTTTGTCATTCTTACACTTGTGCCGGGCAATCTGTTCCACTATCCTCTGCGCGCCACTCTTCTCTTCTCCCTCTGCCACCCTCGTCTCCTTCCACTGTCCCCCCCCAGGTGGGTGCAGCAGCAGCAGGGCAAGGCCATGGATGCAGCGCGCGCAGAGATGAGGCAATGGTGAGAGCAAGGGAGGGAGGGGTGAGGTTGAGTGTGCGCAGGGAAGCGAACCTTCACTGCCAGCGGGGGCACTCAAACCGGTTCGACCCGAACGAACACAAACTGACTCTTGCTCATTTTTGCATTTGTAGTTTGGACAGTGCGGTTTAAGATTCTCACCATCGCCCTGTTCCCGGGCCGGCGGCATGCTGGCAGGTGGGAGCAGCAGCAGCAGGCCAAGGTGGGGGCAGCAGCTGCAGCCGGCCCTCTCACCTCTCCTCTGGCATAGCCCTCAATGCCTAACCTTCCTAGATGTGTGCCCCTTGACATCCAAATTCATTGAGAGTAGTTGATGGATGTGCCGAGCGTCTAGTTGAGTAACTGATTGCAACGTGGAAGTGTGTGAAGAGAATCAGATGCGTGGCATCGCCAGAATGCTCTAGTGAATGTTTGAATTGGGCTGGGCCTCGCTTGGCACGAGTCGGGCCTAGATCAGCCACGGGCCAAATTCCTCACACGTGAGTCAGCCCCATCGCCAAGCCAAGGGGGCCGCCCAGCCCGGGGCAGGTCGGTGTCGTCCCGCCACCGGCCCTTGCCCTTGTCTCTGTAGCACACGTTACACTTAGCACAATCTGCAAACTGAATTGGCCAAAGAAAAATTACCCAGAATGAGTCAACGAATCTAACTCGAGTGTGTTGGCTTGGACAGCAGCAGCTCGTTGGGCCTTTGCAATGAAACACAAAGGCACACATTGTTCCAAACACCCTTATTCGCGTCATTCCTCCCTGCCACCCTTGTCCCTCCAGGTGGGTGCAGCAGCAGCAGGGCAAGGCCATGGATGCAGCGCGAGCAGAGATGAGGCAATGGTGAGAGCAAGTTATTTGTGAGTTGATGCTCCGCCTCCTCCTCTCCACTCTTGTTGCCAGTCAGTCATTCTGGAGTCCTGTGATGCTGCCTGCCTGCATGGACAGACTTGCTTCTTGACTAGTGCACGAGGCAGCACCCAAGTGGGCAGTCAATGGTCTTCCAAAAAGACTCAAAATTTCTGTTGTTCACCGCATAAGCTGCGCGAGTGTGTGGATGGGACGGGGCCCAAGCGATTGTATGGGTTGGGTTTGCATCCCATGGGGCTCGCTAACAACTGACCCGTGTTCCCTTCCTCACCACTCCGCTCCACTCACCATAAACCTTAGCAAACGTTCGTATGCTATGTCGGGCACACAGTTACCTTCAATTTGAATGCCAACTGGCAAATGGCATTCAACCCAACAAGATGTCATGCAGATTATGGCCTCTCTGTTTCGCGGACGATTGCAGGCAGCCTGTAAAAAGGCCTGTCATTGTGTGTCACGGCATCACCAATGTCGTATCTTAGGGCGTGCTCCTACGGCCCCTTATCAGGCTAACCTCTTATCTGGCTCGGGTCAAACTGCACTGAAACACTCAAAGCGAAAAGCATTGTACCAGGCAAGTCTGACAAGAGGTTTGTCCGACAAGAGGCGTAGGAACACGCCCTTATCTGGAAAATCAGTTTATGATATGTATGGATAGAATCTCACCTCCCTGGAACATGTGAAGATCGAAGTATCGATACTTCACGTGTATGTAGGCTTCCTATTCCCGCCTAGAGTGGAGGGGGCGTGGACGTACGCATGAGCAGAAGGCAGCTCAGCCCAGCTGAATGTCGTGTGGTGGGCGCCGCCTGCCACACTCTCCACTCATGCCATGCCATGGATACACACCCTCAACTCTCTCTTCATCTACATTTTCTTTTCAAAAGATTGTGCAAATAAAAAGCACTCAGAATGAAGCAATTTTGTTCGTTGACAACATGAAACAGAAAGGAGCACCTGTTGTACTCACCCTGATTCTCATCATTCCTCCCCGCCACTGCTTGTCCCCCAGGTGGGTGCAGCAGCAGCAGGGCAAGGCCATGGATGCAGCGCGAGCAGAGATGAGGCAATGGTGAGAGCCATGGGATGGCAGGCTCACTTTGCTCCGTGAGTTCATGCTTCTCCCCCTCTCCACCACTCTTGACTCATCTGCGGATGCCTTTATGCCCAAGGAGGCGGTGTCTGGTCATGAGTGCATGGAGTGGAGATCACTCAAGGGGACGCTCTCCTCCTCCACACACTCACCTGCTTGTCTTATCAGGCAAGCCGCCACCCTGCCCCACTCAGCCACAGTTATCGATGGTTCTTTTTGTTGACTTGTTTCCATGAAGAAGAACATTCACATGCACGCACCGGTTCGACTTGGTCCTCGGTCCGTTGTGCTTCCTCTTTTCTTGTTTATGCAAATGGCCTGTCTGTGTTGGATCTGAAGCGTCCACGGTCTAGGACGCGTGCGTCCGGACGCAAGCCAGGCCCCACTGTCGGACGTTCCCCGGACGCTTGTCCGGGCAGGGATGAAAAAATTCCCCGGGCAGGGTAAAAAATCAGGGAAGAGGGGGGAGGAGGGGGATTTTGGGCACCAGCAAGCATGAAACACAGTTTTTCCCCTTAATTATCCATGAAATTCGCACACAAAGTCTTCTACGGTAGGATCCGTCCCGAACCTACCGGCGACATCTGTCGGATTGGAAGTTGCCATGGCTTAAGGTTGCTCTTAGACTAAGTCGGCGGATTCTAGGGATACTAAGCTAATGGATGACGGGAGATTCTAGGGTTTGCTAATGGCTGCCGCGTAACTAAGAAACCAGAGAGTAACGGCGTCCAACGAATTTGAATCTGTTGAATGTCGATTTGGTTGGGATTGGTAGATGTAGAGGGGTGGAGGTGTAATCTGCTGGTGTTGCGACTTCCAATCCCAGAAACGCACTACTCATTTTCAGTCGATAAAATAACGTCCTTCAATTCCGCGGTCGCGATTTTTTTGGGGGGGGGGGGGCTGCCCAGGACCAATTTCGGCTGAACGTCCAGCGTCTAGGACGCGCCCAGCGTCCGGACGCAATCTTCCAGACGCGAGATGTGCCCTGACAGGGGCCCATTGCATGTCACATTGCGCCTGGCGCTGAAGTTGGTGCTTGGGTTGGGTGCGTGGGTGCGTGGGTGGGTGGGGGCGTGCAGGTGGATGGCGCAGTTGGCGGCGAAACGGGCGGCGGTGGAGGATGAGTCGCGCGCCCAGCTCAACGCATGGTGGGTGCCCTGGGGGTTGCATGTGGGTGGTGCATGGGGGGGTGCATGGGGGATGCATGGGGGGTGCATGGGTGGTGCATGGGGGGGTGCATGGGGGATGCATGGGGGGTGCACCACCATGCAGCACCTAAAGTGTCAAGTGTACCGTCCCTTTGCTTGCAATGTGTGTGGTGGGTGGGGCAGGGCGGTGGGCAAGTGGAGGGCGGTGCTGGGGGAGGCGGAGCAGCAGGCGGAGGAGGCGAGGCTGGAGGCCATGGAGGCCGGCCGGGCGCAGATGCGCCAGTGGTGAGTCCTGATGGGCTGCAGCGGTGGGTGCAGCAGGGGTGAGTGCAGCAGGGGTGGGTGCAGCAGGGGTGGGTGCAGCAGGGGTGGGTGCAGCAGGGGTGGGTGCAGCAGGGGTGGGTGCAGCAGGGGTGGGTGCAGCAGGGGTGGGTGCAGCAGGGGTGGGTGCAGCAGGGGTGGGTGCAGCAGGGGTGGGTGCAGCAGGGGTAAGTGGCAGGCCATTCCTTGCTTGCATGTTTCCTTGACTGTTCTATTTCCCTGTGTATTCTCCATGTCGGCATGTGGCAGGTGGACGAATCAGCTGGAGGAGAAGGCAGTGAAGCTGGCGGAGCAGGCAGCAGCAGCAGTGGAGGCGGAGGCAGCCATGTATGTGGCGGCTGCGGCTGACTTTGGTGGCGGGGAGGAGGGCGACCTCAGCGAGGACGAGCTCATCGCCTCCGATGATGAGGAGCAGATGGTATGGCGTGCACCGCATGGTGTGGCGTGCACCGCATGCTCAAAGGCAACGTATCATGGGCATTGTTGTGCAACGGCTGTCATTCACCGCTTCATAGTGCGTCTTGCTCGAAAACGAAACTCTAAACTTCGCTGTAACATTCGTCCAACACTGAAACATTCGTCCATCACTGTTTCCTCTCCCCAGCGGTGCTCCCCTCTTCGTGCTTCCACCAACTGTCTTTCTTTTCCTTTCCACCGCTTCCCTAGCACGTATCCCGTTCCCTCCCTCTCTCCCCTACCCCCACCTTCCTCTGCCCAACATTTCCCCTGTGTCCCCCTAATGCCTCACGTGGCCCGGGTGCATGGGCGGGCGCAGGAGGTGGCGGCGCGCATGGTGGATCTGAGCGACATGGAGCGCGCCGTCATCGAGCGCGAGATGACCCGCTACCGCGCCAGGCGCGAGGCCAAGCGCGCCTTCTGGGAGCGCGACGTGCAGCGCGCCATGGACCGCAACCGCAAGGCCATGCGCGACTGGTGAGGCATGCGCGACTGGTGAGGCATGCGCGACTGGTGAGGCAGCTCTGGGGGGCCGGGGAGTCACGTGCCCAGCGATCATTGCTCGTGCTCTTCTCACCCGCGCTCTCCTGCCTCTGCCACCTCTGCCCCCTAGGGCTCAACCGTCCTCTTGCCTCTCTGCCTTCCCTTCCCCAACCCAATACCCCCTGCGCAGGTGGTTGCAGCAGTGGGGGGCGAAGCAGAGGGCCAATGGGTGGGGCGACAACCCGCCTGTGTGGCGCCTGAAGCTCACCGCAGGCAGCGCGGACACGCCAGGTGGCAGTACGGCATTGGAGGACGTGGAGGTGGCGGGCAAGGGCGTGACGCTAGGCCTCCTGCCCCAGCCCGAGGACGGCTCGCGGCCCATCGAGCTGCACCTCAAGGGGGTGAGATTTCTTGTTTATAGGTCACCATTTGCGAATTGATTGCAGTGGGTTCCATATCCTGCCATTCATTGCCCTCCCATGCACCTCCCACTGCCCACCCCCCACGGTGCGTGGCGCACAGGTGTCGTTTTCGCACGCGGTGGTGTACGGGAAGGACAAGTACATGGGGTTCGGCAGCTACAAGCGCGAGTACTTCGTCGCTGACATCGGCTCCACCACCGGCACCTTCCTCAACGGGTCCCCTGCCACCCCTGCCCCCTCCCTGCCCTCCCCACTCTGCGCCCCGCCTGCCTCTCCTCTCTGCTCTTCTCCGTTTCCTTCTCCCTCCCCTGCTCTCCTTCCGTCTCTCTGCTCTGGTCTCTGCTCTTCTTTCTGCGTTGCACACTGCGTGCTCCCTGCCGTGGTCGCTGCCCTGCTGTGCTGTGGCATGATGGTGTGGCACGCACACGTGCATCCATGTGCGCACACCCACAGCATGCACATGCACTTCTTCTGCCAATGCCACCATGCGTCCCTCACAACCACCTCTCATCTTCTGCCTGTCCCCTGTGCCCCTGTCCCCCTGTCTCTGCTCTACGCCTGTTCCCTGTCCGGCCTGCCCCTCTGTCCCGATCTCCCCCGTGCGAGCGCAGGAAGCTGCTGGGAGTGAATGCGCCGCGCAAGCTGGCCAATGGTGACGTCATCAAGCTGGGGCCTGAGGTGAGTTGCTGCGTGTTTGTCACCACCACTGCGCCACACCACCATCACGTGGGGCTCACATGCGCCTTGCATGGGGCTCACATGGGGCAGAGGAGTGCCAGTCATTTCAGCTCATTGGTGCGCCTCATGTCTCTCCGTGCACCTCTGCATGCATCTCTTACACCCTTCGCCATCCACACCACCTCCCTTTCTTTGCGACCCATCCTTCCCCGGCCCTTACCGGCCTCAGGTTGAATTCGTGGTGACTGACCCCTCTCTGTCGCCCTGACCTCGCCTCCCACGCTCTGCCATGCCATGCCAAGGGCTCACCAAGTGACATGAAGTGGTTCTGCCTCTACAATGATCCATTGCTCACTTGACGGAGATCACTACCTCCTCATGTGTCGTGTTTTGGTCGTCCTTTGTGCAACTGGTAAATTATCAAAGCTTGTAGAGATGGAACCTAGTAATCAAATTGATTTTTTTAAATCAAGAGTATGCTCCAGGAGGTATAACAGTCTGTAAGGGAACTACTGTTGAATTTATTTTCGTAAAATAAGGACACTGGCATAAAAATCATCCACACAACACATGAAAACTTGCGAGTCACAACACATGGAGCATGCATCACGGTGGTATCCACCACTCCAAAGCGCGGCCGCTGAATGCCACTAAGATGGAGACAGCGACTCAGGGTCTCTCACATGAGGAGCCATGCCTCCCACCACTTGCACCGACTGTCACCAAGTTTGCACGTGCGCAATCGCACCTGCGCGCACAGGGACGGGTTTGAAGCAAGTCAGAGGTGCTACAGCGGGAGAGACGCACGACGGGGAGGCACAGCACCAGCGGTGCGGTTGTGAGTGTGAGCGTGCAATGTCGGAGGAGCGCGCCCACACGACAGGGCGCCCTCCCCCCATGGCACGCTCGCCGTCGCTTTCCGCCCTGTAAGGACCCTCGGATGGAAGGCGCTGCGTGCAGCTGATGCCAATCCGACGGTCTTCGTAGAGCGATGCGCGCCTCTTGCATTCTGTCGCAAGCATAGATCGCACAAATGGTTCGAGATGTGAGGGACGAGCCGCGCACCCGATATGTTGCGAGCCGCACTGAGAGCCGCGAGGTTACGAGGAACGACACGCGCCTGACCGCGCCTGCCATCAGTCGATGCCCCATACCCGTGCCGCTCCGGGTGCCGCAGCCATGCTCACTGCGAAGCACGCGCATATTGTGGGAAGAGGGGGAGGGGAGAGGAGGGAAAGGAAGAGCAGGACGGGAGGGGGAAGACGGCAAGGACGAGACCAGGTTAGAGGGCGGTGGGGAGAGGCGTAGAGAGAGGGCCAGCAGCACGGGAGAAAGGCGAGACGAGCAGGCGCGAGTGAATGTGCGGCGGTGCGGAGAGCGCGCGCGGCGAGAGACACGCACGCACTCGAAGGAGCACCAGCGGCGGGATGCGAGGCCCGCGGGGGTCGCTGTGAGCTCTCATGGAACCGACGGCCACCGCGCCCCCGCCGCTCGCACGGCGAGGGCGAGCCGGCGGTTCTTGGGAGAGCGCGTCGAGGAGCGAAAAGGAACTCGCGGAACGAGTAGCGCGGAACGCGGGAAGCTGACAACACAATTGTAAGCGGCAAGGCGAAAGGTAGGAACGGACCGATATGTTGGCGCGAGAGAGTGCGATCACTCAAGGCATGCTCCGCGGCAGCATTAGGAGACCCGAGGCACGGACGTGAAGGCAGCGGAGAGCAACTGGAGAGTGAGAGATGAGATGAGATGGAGCCCTCCCCCGCGAAACCCAGAACCACGCAATTTATCGTCTTTGAGAAGACCTGGCTTCTAAACGCGAGGCACGCTCCAGAGTCATGGCTAGTCGTTGTGCAAGCTGGTTGTGAGCAGTGGTGAGCGGTTGAGCGCCGTCCCGAACCAGCTGGGACCAAGCCGGGGCGTTCTGCAACACTGTACCTCGGGGATTTCAAAGATCCAACACTGCTAATCAGGGTTTCTAAATGCAAAAACAAGCCCTATCCTTTTTTCTTTACTTTTCCAATGTGCCCTTTAAGAAGATCAAGGTACACACTGCTTTGCTTAATGGTGCCTAGCATCCTCTCTACACCTCTACAACACTAATATTGGGTTAGGAACATAAGCTCTGCAGGTGCGAACGCAACACTGCATATCAACAATAATGACGAAGCAACTCTGCCCTGATTTTCCTACTTCACTCCATATGGCACCTTGGCACGAGCCGTATAAAACATGTTCGCATCCCAGTGCTCACAGGCGCTCTGGATGCGGAAACGCAGCTGACCTACAAATGAAATGTGGCCCACAGCAGAGCAGGTGCCAGTGGAAGCAACGGCGCCTGGGTGCATGAAATACCCTCTACAGATGACAGACGCATGGGGATACAAAGAGGATGGACATGATAAGCCGATACAGCAGCAGAGGAGCCACAGCGCTATGACACGGCTGCCACCTTCACATCTGCGCCCTCACCTGGCCGCACCACACCCCCCTCCAAACCCACATGCTGCGACTCTCCCCCTCCCCCACTCCCTCCCCCACTGCCCCCCGACGGCCGTCGCCTGTGCGCACTGCTCCCCCCGCTGCCCCCAGCACTGCTGCTGCCGCCTCGCGAGGGTGACACGCCCACCACGCTGCGCTTGGGCCGGGCAGCCCCCCGCGGTGACCCCTCCCGCATGGGCGACCACCGCCGCCGCGGACTGCCCTCCGCCGCCGCCTCCCGCATGCCGCCCGCACTGCTGCCGCTGCCGCCGCCGCTGCCCGGGCGCCTGGGGCTGGCGCGGCGCGGGCTGAACTCCACAGCGAACGTGGACACGGGCCGCCCCCGCGGACTCACCTCCACCGCCGCACCGCGCCCCCCGCTGCTGCTGCTGCTGCGCACCACTGCACGGTCGTCCCCTCCCCCTCCTCCTCCAACCCCGCCTCCTCGCTCCAGGCTGCTGGCACTGGCGACAGCGTTGAGCGAGTGGCTGTGGCCCTCCCCGCGCGTGGCGGCCAGCGCAGCAGCGACGCCGGGGGGCAGCTCGCCCTTGGCGCCCATCAGCATCCACGTCTTCTGATCCACCCCCCTCTTCTCCGCCTGCCCCGCTCCCCCCGCCTTGCGTGTCGACATGCGCATCGGCCCACTGCTGCCCCCACCGTGCCCCCCGCTGCTGCTCGGCCGCTGCTGCTCGCGCTCCCTGCCCTTCTCCCTGCCCCTATCCCCGTCCCCCCCGCTCCCCAGCAGCCCGCCCGGCAGGACGCCGGACATGGACGCCGATGCAAACAGCGCCTCTACCTCACGCCGATGCCTCTCGTCCATCGAGCTGTTTCGCGATTTGCTCTCGGATTTACCGGGCAGATGTGACAACTCCCCTGACCGGGTCTTGTGCAGGCGGGCCTTGGTGCTGCTGCTGTTGAAAGCAGCGCCCTAGAGTCACACGCACAGGGGGGACGCGGAGGGTCAGTGGGCCAAGGGCAAGGGGGTGAGGGGCGAACACAGGCCGTGGCAGGGGCGAGCACACAGGTGGTAAGGCGGCAGAGCACACGCATCCAGCATGACACGCAGCACATGCAGGAGCAGCAGAGCACGTGGGTTGGGCGCACGCAGCACATGCAGGAGCAGCAGAGCACGTGGGTTGGGCGCACGCAGCACATGCAGGAGCAGCAGAGCACGTGGGTTGGGCGCACGCAACACAGACAGCACACTGGCATGACGCCACGGATCATCCTCGAGTAGACAAGGGGGGGGAGTGGGCAGGGCGCATGAGGAGGTAAGGGATGCGACACATACACGAGAGCCATGCTCGCTGCTGGGGCGGTGCTGCTGGTGCTGCTGGTGCTGCTGGGGTTGTTGCTGCTGCGAGTGCAGCTGCTGCACCATCTGGTTGTGCATGGGGTGGAATCTCAAATCCGACGACCGCGACTCCCGCTTCTCCCGCTCCCGCTCCCTCTCCCGCTCCCGCTTCTCCCTCTCCTCCTTCTCCCGCTCGCGCTCCCTCTCACGTTCTCGCACTTTGCGCAGAGCAGCATCTCTCGACTCCGTGAGGTCGCGCGATGACCCCGTGGAGAAGTCCTTGGACGCGCCCGTGCCCGCCACACTGCCACCGCCTACACCCGCCACGCCAGCAGCAGCCGCCACCCCGGCCGCCGACAGCTCATGGCTCGTGGGGTTCACACCCCCCTTGCTCCGGCCCGCACTGCCCGTCCGTACCAGCCCCCCCTGCTTGCTCTCCCCAATCCCCACCTCCCCACTCACGTTCCTTCCCCCCACCCCCGCCCCTGCCGCCCCCCCTGTGGCGCCAGCAGCAGCGCCTGCGGACGAGAAGGAGGGCCCCTGCACCCACGACGTGGTGGCGGACAAGCTCTTGCCGCCCGCCGCCGCCCCCCGGAGCTTGTCGTTGGCGTCGGCGGGTTTGAGCGCCTTGAGCCCGTCGGGCGTGTCCACGGCCTTGGCACCGGCGAGCGCGTGCGGGCCCAGCCCCTGCAGGCCCGCTGCCAGCGCCATCTCCGCCGGGCTGATGAACTTCTCACTCTTGCTCTTCGCTATCGCCGCCTTGCCCCCCGCCGCCTTCTGTTGGGGGGGGGAGGGGGGGGAGGGGGAGGGAAGAAAAAGAGGGGAAAGAGGGGAGGGAAAGAGGAAAGGGGGACGTGAGCATGGAGGATACTGTACAATGGGGAGAATTGAGTGTGGCAGGTGGTGAGGGGTTGGGCAGGGAAGAGGCAGCGGCTTACAGGGGCTGCTCCATCCAAGCCGTGGCAGCACAGCAGCAATGGCACGGCGGTGAAGCACGCACCTGCATGTTGATGGACTCCACCAGCTCCGCGTTGGCATGGGGTGCCGGCACCGCCCGGCTGGAGCGCTGCTGGCTCTGCTGCTGCAGCTGCGGCTGCTGCTGTGACGTGCTGCTGCGCTGTGCGCCCTGCCCCGCCGCCGCCTGCTTGCTGCTGGCGCTGCTGTCTAGCACCTTGCCTGCCCTCGCCCCTGCCGCCCTCTGCCTGCCACAGACAACGTACCAGGGAGCAGCAGCGGCGCACAGGGGAGGGGATGCAGAGAGGGCGGGATGCACGGTGACAGAGGTTGAGGGGCGGTGCACGGTGACAGAGGTTGAGGGGCGGTGCACGGTGACAGAGGTTGAGGGGCGGTGCACGCAACAGCGTAGTTGCACGGTGAGAGCAAGTGGGAGCAAGGAGGCGACAGGCAGCACAGCACAAGGGCACGGCAGAGGTACGGCCCGCACAGGGGCGCAGGTTGAGTAAAGGGCAGGCGGCGGATGAGAGGGCGCAAGGAGGCGCATTGAGGGGCGAGCACGGGCGTGAAGTGGGGAGCAAGCACGGGGCAGCGAGGGGCAGCGGGGAGCGGGGAAGGGCGAGAGGGAAGAGGAAGGGCGGGAGGGAAGAGAGGGAAGAGGGAAGAGGGGGAAGGGCGGGGAGGGGCGGGGAGGGATGACCTGCGGGCCTCTTCGTCGCGCAGCTTGGCGTCGTACTCCTTGCTGGGCGGGTACTGCGGTAGTGACGCCGGGTCGCATGGCAGTGGCTTCGTTGTGAAGAACTGCCACGGATAAGGGATAAGGGGACGGGGGGAGAAGGGGGAAGGGGATGAGTGATGGGGAAGGGCGAGAGCATGAGGGAGAATGGCGGAACGTAAGGGGAAGGCGGAGGGGTGGACGGAAAAGGGGAATGGCGCAGGCAGCAACGATTTCTCAAGCCTGGAAGCGTCACGACCCGCCATCCAATACCGCCCCTTGTCTCACCTCGTGCGCTCCTTGCCTCACCTCGTGCGCTCCTTGCCTCACCTCGTGCGCTCCTTGCCTCACCTCGTGCGCTCCTTGCCTCACCTCGTGCGCTCCTTGCCTCACCTCGTGCGTTCCTTGCCTCACCTCGTGCGCTCCTTGCCTCACCTCGTGCGCCCCTTGTCTCACCTCGTGCGCTCCTTGCCTCACCTCGTGCGCCCCTCGCCTTGCCTCACACCTCACCTCGTGCGCGAGCGCGGAGGTGGCGGAGCCGCGGTCGGCGGGTTCGATGGAGAGCAGGACGTCGAGCAGGTTGAGCGCCGTGGCGGGGAAGTCCTTGAAGAGGTCCCTCAGCGCGCGCTTGTACGGCTGCGTGGGCTTGAAGATGGTGGCGTGCGGCAGCTTGGAGCGCCGCCAGTACTCCTCGCTGGGCGACCCGCACAGCTTGAATATCTTGTGCAGCTGCTCCACCTGCTCGCGCGCCATTGAGGGGCGGGGAGCGGCGGGGGCGAATGGGGGAGGGAGAACGGGGATGAAGGGGGGGAGGAGGGGGTGTGAACGGTGGAGGGGTGGAAGAAAGGTTGGAGGGTGAGTGAGGAGTGAGTGGGAGTGGAGGCAGACGAAGGCGAAGACACCTGCGCGCGGCTCACCTGCATGCGACTCACCCGGGCACGGCTCACCCGGGCACGGCTCACCCGGGCACGGCTCACCCGGGCACGGCTCACCCGGGCAGGCGCACGTGCGCGCGGCTTACCTCGGTGCGGCCGGGCATGATGGGTTTGCCGGCGAGCAGCTCGGCGAGGATGCAGCCGCTGCTCCACAGGTCGACGCCGACGCCGTACGTGGTGGCGCCCAGCAGCAGCTCGGGCGGCCGGTACCACAGCGTCACCACGCGGCTGGTGAGCGGCACGTTCTGCTCGGGGCGGTAGAAGGTGGCGAGCCCGAAGTCGGCGATCTTGAGGCTGCCCGTGTTGTCGAGCAGCAGGTTGCTGCCCTTGATGTCGCGGTGCAGCACGCCGTGCGTGTGGCAGTGCTCCAACCCCGCCACCAGCTGCTGCATGTAACACTTCACCTGCCAGCACACGCGCAAGGGGAAGGGCACCAAGGGAACGGGGAGGTGGGGGGCACCAAGGGGGAGCGAGGAACGAGGTGAGGATGACGGCCGGAAGAGGCATCGCGCAAGCCACGCAACGACAAGCACGGAACAGCACGCGGCAGAAACACAAGGCGCGGAAGGGGCCGAGCGGCAAGGGCAGGGCGGCGGACCTGCGCCTCGGTGAAGGAGATGCCGGGGCAGGCGGCGAGCCCCGCGAGGTCGTGCTCCATGTACTCGAAGACGAGGTACAGGCTGCAGCTCATGCGCGACGTCACCAGCCCCTCCAGCCGAATCACGTTCGGGTGGTCCAGGCGCCGCAGCACCTCGATCTCGCGCGCCATGAAGCGCACGCTCTCCGGCTCCAGGTTGTCGAAGCGCACCTTCTTCAGCGCCACCAGCCGCCCGCTCTCCAGGTCGCGCGCCTTGTACACGTTGCTGTACGTCCCCTGCCCGATCTGCGCGCCGCCACGCGTAGGGGGTGTGGAAAGGGGGGGAGGGAAGGTTCGGGGTGATTGGGTTGAGAATGGTGCGAGTGCGACGAGGTCAGCAGGAGCGCTTAAGGCAAAAGCAAGAGTATGGACGGCCACAAAGCCCCGCATCGGCGTTTGTGAATGCGGCAGCCGATCCAATTACTTAGAATAAATAATTGCCCACGACGTCGTAGACTCAGGCGGCACTGTGCGACAGCCTGGCGGTGTGCGGCACTGTGCGACAGCCTGAAAGTGTGCGACATATTGCCCGCAACGCCTCCCGCAACCCTAAATTCGAGCGGAGAGAGTGTCCATCCCTCTCATTAGCGACCCACGATTCGCTCCCTCCCGTCCCACTCGCTGCTCGTGCTCGTGGTTCATGACATAGCTCTCGTCCCCTTCCCTGCTTTCCGTTCACCAACGTCGTAGCCGCCCTCTCCCCTTCCATTCCCTTCCATCAACCGCACACTCCCATCCCCACGCACTCCCCTCCCAGCACACTCACCGCACGCGGATCCCGACCGCCCATGACCTACTCCCGAGCGCCCGTTAGCGTCCGCGCGCGGCTCACCTTGTCGAGTTTCTCGAAGGAGTCGGCGCGGCGCGGCACCCAGCCCTTGATGGCCTCGCTGGCGACGGACGCGAGCCACGACGGCCACCCCGCCGCCACCTGCTCCGCCTCCAGGCTCTTGTGCACCTGCCGCGGCACCGACGCCACCGCCGCCGGCGCTACCGCATCTCCCGTCCGCTCTCGATCCCGCTCCCGCTCTCGCTCCTTCTCCTTTTCCTTCTCCTTTTCCCGCTCCTTCCGTCTCTCCCGCTCCGCTCCCTCCTCCCCCGCCCCCAGTTGTCCGCTCTGCCGCGAACTGCCCTTCGCCGCGGCCGGAGCTGCGGCTACCGCCGCTGGAGCGGCTGCTACTGTTGGGGGCGCCGCTGGTTTGGCGGGGGGTGGGGGATCCTTTATGGAAGGGGGCTCCGGTACCACGGGGACGGCGGCGGGAGGCGGAGTGGCGGCTGGCGGTCTCTGCTGCTGCGAGGGAGGGGGAGGCTTCTCTGCTGCGGGTTTGTGAGGCGGAGACTCGTCGAGCGCACTGGGATGGGAGCACGCGCACCCCATGACGAGGCCGCAAGTGACCCAGCCCAGAGTTCGTGGACCTAGGCGCAGTGCGGGTGGCGCACCAGCCCTGGCTAGCACCGCTAGCTACCGTTGGAATCGTCGGCGAATGATGACAGCAGCTACGGGTGTCCCCGAACTGAGGAAATGAGGGGACTGTTAACCAGAGAGCCTTGGACAAACTGCCTAGCGCTGTAAGCTGCACTTGTAGAATGACTTAACGTACTTTAAGTATTAACAAGGATAAGCAACGCGAGGCCTTACAGGGAGAGTAACTACCGCCCAGCATCCAGGGTAATGCGTGTAAGGACATCTGTAACAGTAAGTGCCACCACTTTAGGCAAGCGAGTGTAACTGTGTTTAATGGTGCATAACATGTTCGTCACAGGCGTGAGGACTCCTATGTACCACGCAGATCGAGGACGAACTCTGGACACGAACGACTTATGCCAAACTCCTACCAAGTCATTATGCTCCTAATTTACATTAATGCGACAATATAGCGCCGTGCGAATCGGGACGCCCGTCAACGACGACCTATATGATTAGGCAGCGAAGAAGGCGAGGCAGTTGGTGATGGTTGTGAGACAGAGAGGGTTAGCAGGCGAGTTGGGTTAGTGCGGTGGCAGCAGGAATGATGATGATGGGGTGTTGGGGTTGTTGTTACGATGCTGGGGGGTAAATGCTGCTGCCACGGCGAGGGAGCAGGCGGAGGGAAGACGAGAAGGGGAGGGAGTCAAATGCGCGGAGGTGAGCGGGGAAGTGTGCGAATGAAAGTGGGGGGAGGGATGGGAGGCGGGAAATTTGGGACCAGGAATGGGGGAGGGCATGGCGGAGAAGCGCATGGTCCCGTGAAAGTGAATGCGCTGCGCGCAGGTGGCAGGTAGAATCACATTTGGCCTACTGGCATGCGCACAAACGAGGGAGGGGGGGAACACGCGGAAGAGATCCTCTGAAACTAGTTTGTCACACAGCTTGCGCCAAAGCCAGGCACGCACAGGCGGAAGAGGATTATGTAGGGGGGCCAAGCGAGCCGCTGGTGTTGGAGAAAGCAGGGATGTGCGGCTGCGAAAGCGGAACGACAAGGAGAGCGAAGAGCTTGACGACACTTTCCGAGCCTTTCAGGCTCGAGGCGAAGCACGACAACGAACCACGAACAACAAAGCTCGCCGTCCGGCGCGGAGAGCAAATGCAAGAAGAGAATCCGCTTGTAACATGAAAGATCAAGCTAAATAGTATTTTTGTAAAGAATTACATTTCCTTACTACAGTCACTTACTAGCGACAACATCCCGAGGGCCACACGTCAGATGGTTCGGCCTACAATGTTCCGATCCCACGGGGGAAATCAGCCAGGAACTCCAAGGGTTGTTTGAACAGAGTTAACGCAGTGGCATTGACATCGTATCAGAGTGAATGTAAATGAATGAAGAGGGATTGATTTACATAAAAGTACAAAGGAATACGGAAAGTCATAGCTAGCCATGTACTCTAGGGGGTACATTCCCATATTGCAGCGAAAGTCAACCGTGCGACGGGAACCGGTTATGAACCTATTCGCGCCAATTCCTACGCGATGTAGTTGCCCGATGCTTTTACGGTCCAAATGCTCCCAGTCGTACGTGTCAAAACATATTTGTGTTTAGGCTATAGTGAAGATAGCTATAAGAAGTACATCAGTTTTAGGGTTCCACGTTTGTATCCACATTCTTCCTAGTGCATTCATTCTCGTACTTCTAACATGTGCAAACTGTCAGAGGTCCACTGGTGATCCTCGATTGATCCTAGGGAAGGGTTACAGGCTCGTTGTCCTGGTGGGTTATGGGCGCGCTGACCCGCTACTTAAAAAGCACTTTTATCCCAATGGTCTAGAGGTTGGGATTCTGACATGGTATCAGAGCGAAGGTCACGGGTTCGAATCCCAGCGTGTGCACTTCGGGCATCCCAGTGCGGGGGGGTGTCAGAGGTCCACTGGTGATCCCCGATTGATCCTAGGGAAGGGTTACAGGCTCGTTGTCCTGGGGGGTTATGGGCGCACTGACCCGCTACTTAAAAAGCCATTTTATCCCAATGGTCTAGTGGTTGGGATTCTGACACAAACGTATATGCGTTTGCTATTAATTAGGACCAGATCTCTACTCGCATGTATGCCAAGTATGCTGCTGGTGCTAATGCCTAGGGTGACTATTATTCGTGTTTTCCTAGGTCTGGTAATGTAGAGGCTGCTAGTTTAGGTGCTGTTGCTGCTGAAGCTTTGCACGCCTTCACACTGGACTCGGGGGCGTCTCGCTGCTTCTTCTGCGACTGTACTACAGTCATACCGCTCACGGCACCTGTCCCTGCGAAGAGTCACTCTACAACGGTGGGGGCTAGACTATGGGGTTGGCACTGGTTGTGAGTGTGATCGTAGCTTTGGCAGGAGTTTCCACCAGCAAAGAGTCATTCTTCCGTGCCGTACGGGAGATTGTGTTGCAGCGGCGTTTGTTGGCTGAATTGGGGGAGGAGTAGCAGGGCCCTACCCCACTCTATTGTGACAGCCAGGGTGCCATTGCTCTTGCTAAGAACCCTGTGTTGCACGGCCTCACCAAGCACATGAGGGTAAAGTGGCATTGGACGAGGAGCATGGTAGCCGCGGGTGAAGTTGAGTTGCACTACGTGAAGACGACGGGGCAGCCGGCAGACATGATGACCAAGAGGCTGGTGGAGCAGCAGCATTGGAAGTGTTGCAAGCTGGCTGGAATGGCTCTGAACTGAGAGGAGCACATCCTAAGGCCAACAATTCGAGGGGGAGTTTGTTGGTGCAACCCTACGGTTAGCACTCGGCTTGTTGTCCGTGTGCGTGCATGCGTGTGTGCATGGAATGGTATGAGGGCATGAGATAATATGTGTTTCTTGCTTATAATAGTGTGTGAATGTTGAGACATGGTGTCGATTGTGTGTGTGTGTCGAGTCAATAGCGAGTTATCGCTAGTTGCGTGTTACGCGGTCATTTTGTGTGTCCCGCGCGGTTTCTATTTCATCGTTTGCGTGTCTCGCGCGGTTTCTATTTTGTCCTGTGTCGAACGTTCGGCGTGTCGCAGGTGTGTGCAACAGACCCATCAAGAACTCAAGGATGAGTTTGTGATGAAGAACCCAAGCCTTGGTGTCAAGACTCAAGTGATCGCGAAGCCCGTAAAAGGCTACACCTCAAGATAATGCTAATAGTTACATTACTTTGTGTAGTGTAACATTTCACTTGGTGTAGGCCCTAGTGAAGGGTAGTTTCGAGACCCTTCGTGGTTGGGGATAGTGTGGCATTGTTCCACATCACTGTACCTCGGCTCTTGGGATTTGTAGGAGTTGGGAGTCATTCCCAACTCGTAACTCTTTCTACCTTGTGTTCAAAGACTATAGTGGTTGCCATAGTGCCGTTCGTTCAAACCGACGGTGTGTCGTCAATATTTGGTGAAATCGTGCGATCTAAATTGCCTATTGTAGGCGACATCAAGACGCTCCAGATCCAGGTTGAATCAGGCCATTTGAAGCTGTGACCAGAACGATATGAACGTTTGAAGCCGCTATGCAGAAATCCGACTGTGCACTCTATTTTTCGTTTTAGGCACATTGGAGCCTACTGTGACTATAACAGTTGACGACTTGGCTACACAACTGTCATCACAGGGTTACACTTTCAGCCTTGGCTCTGGTTCTGTTTCTTGGTGGTCTACTGGCTCGTCTTCTGTTTTCGGTTCCATTTGTGAGGCTGAGATCTACGCAGGGGCCATGGCTGCACAGGAGTTGCGCTGGCTCACCTACCTGCTGACCGACTTGGGAGAGCGGCCTAGTTCTCCTCCAGTTCTGTACATAGACAACAAGGCTGCTATTGCCTTATGTCAGGAGCACAGACTGGAGCACAGGACGAAGCACATCGCTCTGCGTTACTTCCTTGCTCGAGAGTTGCAGCAGCGTGGTCAGCTTTGTCTTGCTTACGTGACCTCTCAGGCCAACACTGCTGATATATTCTCCAAAGCACTTCAGTCTGGTGATCATCAGCGTTTCTGTACCGCTTTAGGCCTTCCGCCTGCTTCGTCTCACTTGCTCACTGCGTGTCTTTGCTTGTACTGTGATATATATACATATATATATATCCGCATCCTTACACTTGCTAGGTTGTGATCACTGTACTGTTTTTTCTTCATTTATATGACTCTGCATGTAAACTGGCCTTGTGGCCATTTTCTTGTGCTCACAGTGTGTGGTGACTTCGTGATCCACCCTGAGTTTGCTTTGATTTTCTTGACCGGTCTTGTGACCCCTTGTTCTCCACCCCTTTGCCTATGGGGGTGTGTCAAACTATCATGTTGCATGTGTTGTGTAGGCTGTAGTGGGGTAGCCCACATGGGGTACAACTCGAATTAGGGTTAGTACTTGTATCACTTTCTTACTCAATGCAACCATTCATGCTCGTTAGTTTCTGACAACGTCTTGTTACTCCCGAAATGTCTCGCGTATTTTACGTCGTGAAAACTCCAGTAACATGTGTCGAAGCGGGGCATAGCTCGGTACCCAAAATTTTCTAGAACTCTTCCTTACAGCTAAGTCTTCCTCCCATTATAACAACTTTTGTTTCTTTGTTATAGCGATCTCAGCGTCTACGGAGTACCCATGCTGGAATAAACCCTTGAGCAGAGGGTTCATCTCGTCGAGCTCGATGCCTACTACATGTCCTAGGCGGCTTATGTCAAAATATGTTTACATATTTTATATAATCGTTTGCAGTTGTAGTGTAGATATTGCATCATGTTTGGTGGTGCACCTCCTTGTGTTGCTGTTTACCTATTTGTACTTGCTATTCTCATTAGTGAAGCCCTCTTTTGGCTTGCATTTTCCTCTCGCTACTTTCCTAAGCCTAAACCCTAGTGTTCACTTAATCTACTATTCTAACATGGTATTAAGAGCTAGGTCGTCCTAAGACCTAATTTTTCCCCCATGGGCCCACCACGTATCCCCCCACTCATGGCGCTC